GGCCACAGGGAGGCATGATGAGGTCAGGGCCACCTGGCTGCATTGTGGGTGAGCTAAAACCGTGGTCCCCACTGCACTGGCTGACACATTGGGACTTGCTTTGTCCAGGGAAGTAATGCTGGACCCCAGTGCCTAGCCCAGGTCAGCTCCTGCCCACCGCTTCTTTCCAGCAAGCACCCCATAGGCCAGTTCCTCATCTTGCCCTGGGGGCCCAGAGCCATCCTTCAGGACCTCTCTTCTCCACCCCAGTTGGTGGCACTCAAATTCCCAGTGCCGTCCTGCCACTGTTGCTTCCTGGGTATGGGTGTTTCTCCTAAACTGTGCCGAGAGCCACCCCCTTCCTGCACGGAGAGGGCCACCACCTCTCCAGGGCACAGAAGCTGGACAGGACAGGGCTGGCCAGGGGCAGGCCAGATCCCATGAGCCTGTCCTGGGAGTGTGGAGGAGGGAGGGGGAGGAGGGTAGAGCTGGGATAGGGCCCATTATGGGTGGGGCCAGAGTGGAACTGGGCATGGGCTGGGCCGGATCCCCATCGGGTGCCCTCTGCCCTGTGCGCAGACCACATGTTAGTTAACAATTGCCACCAAGCTCTGGCCACATGCCAGTGAGAGTTCCCAATGCTTTACAAATGCTAACTATTGTGACCTTCACACCCCCTTGGGTTCTATTTTTAATCTCTGGCTGAGAGACTAAGACAGTGAGGCACAGAATGGTTGGTGACATTCCCCCCCGCCCCGCCCCCGCCCCGGCTCCTTCTTCCCCAATGGAACCTAGAGCTTCTCCCCTGACCCCCCCCCCCAATACTCTGCAAGGAGCATTCCACCTGCAGCTTTGCACTTGGGGCCTGATATGGTCTCACCTCCACCAGGCCCCTGTCTCGACCACTACCCTTCACTCCAGCTGCAGCCTTGCTCAACCGCTCCCTTCAGACACTCGTGGCACAGCTCGGGACGCCACAGGACTTGGGGACGTGGTCCCTGACCTGGTGCCTGGGACTTGCCCTTCCTGGGGAAGGGTGCAGAGGCTCTGACCCCTTCCTCAGCCACAGAGGTGATTGCCTGAGGCCCCAGGGCTCTAGGGGCTGTAAAGGCGGCCCGTTCTGGCCTTCCTCAGGAATAGTAAGCACACCCGAGCCGAAGATCTGGGTTGAAGCTTCCATGGGTGTGTCTTAGCCTCAGACCCCAAGGCTTCCCTATCCTGCAGGACTCACACTCCTGGTGGTAAACAGTGAAAAGACTAACAGCCGTGCTTTCTTAAAATGTCCTTGCAGGGAAGGGAGAGAAAGCTGTGGGTTTCTAAAGGAACAACAACAGTTGTTTCTGCTGCTAAGTTTGTCAAGGTGAGTGGATTCCGGAGAACTCTGCCACCTGCAGTTTTTTTTCCCAGGGCTGGTGGAGGGTTTGGGGGTCACTGTGCTGTCAGCTCAGGTGGGAGTGGCTCTCTGCTCCTTAAGACAGAAAACATTTAAGGCCCAGAGGTGTTGGGGGGCAGCATTTGGGAGACAGAATTGTCCCTGGGGTGAGGACATCAGGGGCTGGGGTCCCCACCCTGAAACCCTGGTATGACAGGCAAGGACCAGCCTCTGGCAAACCCCAGGAGCAGAGGCCCAGCCTGGGAAAGAATCTGCCCTGCAGGGGCCTGAGCACAAGGAGGTCTGCCACCCTAGACGGGCTGTCAGCCAGAGAGGCCAGAAGGGGCTGGGGGTATCTGGGACCAGCCCAGAGAGAACATGGGAGGCTGACCTGGCTATGAGCCTCTGAGAAGTATCCTCAGTGAGACTTTGAGTGTCTTTGGGCCACACCTGATACGGGAAACAAAGACAGAAGGAAATGTAGATAAAATTAAGTGTCCTTGTAACCTGCAGTCCATTGACATATACCTGAGACAGGCAGATTGTAACATTCCTCCGAGGTCTCAAGTTTTCTTTAACAAACCAAAGTCCTTTGGGAACTTTCTTCCTCTTTACTTCTTCCAACCCCAAGATAGAGAATCACTTGCTCCGCATAATCCCAGGGCAGCAGGGGCAGTAGCTCCTCCTGTCCACGGGCCTGTCCCTGCGCTTTAGTAAGACGTCTTGGCCGTTGGCTCTAGACCCCACCAACAACAACATTCCAAAACTGCATCACACCCAGGCCATTGGGGTAGGGAGGACAGATTCCCAAGGTGAGGACAAGGATACTTGTTCCTGCTTCGCCTGCTTGCAGGTTTTCACCTGGGGCACTCCTGGTGGCTTTGTCACCCTGACCTCCTCCACAGGGTGGCCACCAGCCCCCCAGTTAGAAGGAGTCTGAGACAGCCTTGGAGACAGCAGGAATGGGCGGCTGCCTCCACTTTGCCCTCAGAGGGAGGACGACAGGTGGGCAGGGTGCTCTGGAGCTCAGAGGAGGAAGGAAAAGGGATCTGGGTCCAGGATCCACAGGGGAAGAGCAGGAGGCCCATGCAGGCCCCGTTGTCTCCCCAAAACAGAGCAGGGTCAGCTCTGCCAGCAGCCGGGGTGGCCACACTGCCTGCAAAGGGCTGATCCACTGTACGGCAGCTTTTTCAGACGATGCATTCAAGACCAAGGCCAAGAGGAAGGCTGAGCCTGGGGAAATTAAGTCCATAATAGTAGATTTTAGTATCATCATAAAATAAATTTAATAATTAGGTTCATAAAAGTGATGTGTGTGTTGTAGAAAATTTGAAGAAAGCAAACAGGGAAGAAAAGCATAATCTCACCATCCACAGCTCACATCATTAAGCAGATATGAGCATAAATATTAAATCCAATCTTCAGTATTTTAATACATTTTAACTTAGTTGAGACAACAAAATGTATACATGTTTGCAATCTGTGTTTCTTCACTTAGCAGTATAACATAAGCATTTTCCTATACTCTCATCACTCTTGGAAAGCATAATATTGTATGGCTGCTCAATCAGCATATGGATATACCGTGTTTGCTCAGACATTTCCCTATTGTTGAGCATCTAAGTGGCTTTTAATTTTTGCCTCAAAGGACATATTTATACACATTTTCATTATTTTTTTCCTTAGGATAGTTAGGACCAAATCATCAACAGTTTTAAGCCTTCTCATTCTTTTTGCTGAATTGCTTTCCCAAAGGGCTGTCCCTGTTTTCTCTCCAGATGGCGCTGCATAGGGTCTGTCCTTATTTTCCACCCTGCATTAAGAGTAGGGCACCTTCTCCCGTGGGGCCAGGCCAGTGCTCCCCCAGCCAGGCTGGAGATGCGGTCTTTGCCCCAAGGGGCCACGGTGCCGGCTCTGGAGCAGCAAGGATCTGGATGTAACTTGACTTCCTTCAGGCCCTTGGAAGGTGGGAATGAGAAGCAGTGTCCCTGTGGCAATACAAACGGGATGCCAAGTAGAGACATGGAGACCCCACAGCTTTGTCGAGACCTGCAGCGGGGCCTGTGTCAGGGGAAACCCATTAGTGGGCGGTTTTAACACAATGCAATTGTAGATGCAGACATCCAGAGCCGGTGCGGTTGGGGACCAGGAGGAGACAGAGAGGCCAGGAGCTGGCTGGCAACCTAGACCTTGAGTTCGCATTGCTCATGCTCAAAAGCCCTTGCTGATTGTTTCCTGAACGCGAATAGGGCATCTGAGGCCCTTTGGCCTGTGCAGACGGCTGGGTGACCCTAGCATCCTTCTCTTCTTCCTTAGGAAAAGTGATCGATCATACTTCCCAGGCTTCCATGCAAGAAGGCGTGGCCATGTGACCATGTGCCAGGTGGAGCGCACCTCCTCCTTCCTCTCTCTGCTGGCTTGGATGTGGCTGTGACGGCCTGGAATGTTGGAATGTTGAGCAGCCGTTTTGAACCATGTGGTGGGACCAAGTGTTTAAGGTGACGGAGCAACAAGGCAAATTAATACTAGTCCTGGACTGGCCCACCCCAGATTTCATTTATGGGAAAAAGCAACGTATATGTTGCTATATATATAGAGAGAGAGAGAGAGAGAGCGAGACTTGTTGAAGCCACTACCACTGGGTTTTCCATGACACCAATCTTCATGTATTTGTCCAGATTTGCTCCATCAGAGTCCCACAGGTCTTTGTTGGTCCCTCTCTTGTCTGCCACCTCATAGTTCAGTCCTGGTCCCTGCTGTTGTCACAGCCTGCCATGGGGTCCCCCAGGCAGAAATGTGGGTGGGGTTGGGCCATATTATCCCAGAGCAAATATATGTCAATGCTGGGTCTGAACCACAGGCTTGCATGGGCTGCATGATGCTCCCTGCCCCCCATGACATCAGGGGTGCCCCCTCATACTGTTCCATGTTTCCATGTGCCTTGTCCTGCTGAGCTTCTGTCCTGTGTCCTCAGCTTCAGAGCAGCTTCCAGAGCCTGGGTACCCCAAATCACTGTTGGGGGCATTCTGCATTCTGGTGGCCCAGAGCCTTCCCCAGCTGTTGCTTAGAATGCAGGATCCATGCAGCCCAGGGCCAGCTCTCTCCTCCCCCAGATGGGGTCCACAGAGCAGGGGCTCAGGGTGGGAGTTTATTCTTGGGGTCTGTCTCATCCCCAATCCTCCCTGCCCCAGTTTCTCCTCTAAGGGAATCAACACTGGACTCCGGGGGTGGGAGTCAAGGGCTGGATGCTCTGGAGGGGCCCTGGGGAAAGCGTGTCCTGGGGTCTGGAAGAGTGAAGGTGAGCAGGGAGCCAGGGATGTTGGGGAGTGCTCATGTGCCCCACCCATTCTGCTTCCCCCTAGGAGGGAGATGCCAATCTACCTCCATCTTACAGGGGAACCCCTCCTGCAGGTGAGGGCGATGCCCCCAGGTGTGGGCAGGGGTCCCCCCTGCTCCATCACCCCAGGAAGGTGTCAGAGAGCCCTGGGAACAGGGGATGGATGTTCCTTCCAGCCTGGGGCGTGGCTGCAGAAGGATCGCAGGGGAGCAGGAGGTGGAGGAAGAGGAGGAGGAGGGAGGCGGGAGAGAGGAAGGAGGGAGTGGTGAGTCCCAAGCGGAAGTCAGGTAGGACTCGCCCCGTGAGCCTCGCTGCCACACTCCAGTCCCGCCAGCCCCCAGCCAGACTCCGGGGCCAGCATGCAGGTGAGTCGGCTGTGCAGGGGTCCACACCTTTGGCCAGGACACGCCCCCCCAGGAGGCTCCACACCTGTGAAGCCCTGCCAGCTTCACCTGGAAAGTACCTGTGGGGGTTCCCTGCAGCCCTCAAGGCTGAGGTGAGGGTGGCCAGAGCTCAGACAGAGTCCCTGGGCTGGCTGGGGGTTGGAGCAAGACAGAAGGCAGCTTTCCTCCTGCCCAGCCAGGGATACTGGGGACCCCAGGCCAGGCCCTTAGAGCCTGTGTGAGACCTAGATGAGGAGAGCATGTCCATCCGCAGAACTTGCAGCTCTGCCCTGCAAAGGGAAAGGGGGCTCTGGCCTCCAGGATGGGCTGACCTGAGGTTGGGGAGGCCTGGGGAGGCCGAGGGTGGCTGGCTGAGCCCTCTGCTCCCTGGGACTCCTACCCCAGGCAGAGGTTGGGGGCTGACTGGGGGCTGTTGGATTCTGATCTGGGGGGGGCAGAGCAGGAGGCTATGGAGTCCCAGTGAGGTGGGCAGGAAAACATCCTGGGAAGACTTCCTTTCTCCCCTCTGTCAGGGAAGAAGTCATCCAGGCTGGGGCCAGTGCCTGGGTGGCCCAGGGAGGAGACCCATGCCGAGGTGGAGAGCGAAACCAGCCTCCCACTCAGCCTCCCTGAGTCCCTCCCAAGTGTGGGCCAAGCAGGTGGCCTCTCACTCCACCTTTGCCCAGGGCCTCCTCAGCCCTTCCAGAGCCAGCTCTGGCACCTGGCTGCTCAGGCTAGTGTATGGGCACACCTCAGCCTTAGCCCTGTCAGCCCCTTCCTTCCATGCCAGTCCCAAGCTGGGGTAAAGGGAAGACTTGGGGCTGCCTGGGGGGGTAGCACCTGGTTTGGCTGAGGCAAAGGACTCAATGCTTTGAAAGGGATATATGCAGGGGCACCTGGTGGCCCCAGCCCCTAGCTGGATCTGAGCATGCTCTTCCCCGCTCCAGTCCCTTCCACGGCTCCCCATGGCCCCCAGCTGCCTGAGCAGCCTCCATGATCCGGCTTCTGCCAACCCCCAGCCTCACCTCCTGGCAGCTCCCTTCTAGCTCTTTATGCCTCTGCCAAGCTCAAATGCTGAGTTCTGAGTCCCTGGGAGTACTAACTACCAAGTCCTTGGAGGTGCTGGGTCCTGAGTCTCTGGGAGGTCCTGAGTACCAAGTCCCTGGACACTGATTGCATGCTGCCTCTCAGGGCCTGTCCATACATATTTTCCTCTCCCAGGAATGCTGCCCCCACTTTATGGCCTCCTGCCAACCTCAGGCTCCAGGCTACCTCCCCTGCCAAGCAGCCACCTGCCTCTCCAGGCCCCTGTGTCTACTTACACCACACGCTGCCTATGAGGGCTGCACACAGAGCAGGCTGCATCATCAGTGAGGGTCTGGGGATGGATGGACGGATGGACACATGCAACGATGAACTGACAGAAGACAGATGGATAGCTGAAGAGGTGGAGGGATGGAGGGGGGATGGAGGCAAGGAGGGGCAGACAGGAGGGAGGGGCAGATGACCGGCTTCAGAAGTCCAAGAAGCAGAGCCAGGTGCAGGGGAGATTTGCTCAGGGAGGGTGGACTCAGGGCGTCTGGGCTGAGTGAGCAAGGGTGGGCTTTTCTGTGTTTGCACACTTTGGTGGGGGCAGGAGGGTCCCTTTGCTGGATGATGAAACTACAGCGTGCTCATGGGACCCAGTCAGAGGGTATGTTGTGACCTCGGGGTGAGATGTGCCATGGATAGTGAGGGGAGGCCTGAATACGTTCCTTTTGCTACGTGTGTGTCCATGTAGCCCACCTGATTGGGAGCTGGGTGACAGTCACGTCTGCACAGCAGTGTCCTCAGCCCCACTGGGGACCTGGAGGCCAAACTGGGAAGGGATGGACAGGGGCAGGACTCCCCCAGCTCTGACCCTTCATGTTCTGTGCTGTAGGGGAGGGAGCATCTCCTGGGACCTGCAGTGTCTCCAGAAGTCCCCTCCTTTGGAACTAGTGGATGAGCCCCCTGGGACTCTGGCCTGTGTTAAGCCTGGGCTCTGACCCACTAGGTGCTTGGCCTGCAGGGGGTGGACGCTGGAAGGACTAAAGGGAGAACAATAGTGATCTCCCAGCCTGCACCCCTCATCTGTGCAGGAGCTTGCCTGGGATCTGCACAGGACAGGGAGAGCTGGGATCTCCAAGGCTAAGTGTGTCAGGACAGTCCCTGTACCTGCCCTGGGGGCCTGGGAGGCTGATGGACACTGGAGGTCCTGGAGATGGAGCCTGAGAGATGGAGGCACAGGGGCCCCAGACACCCTGCTTTGGGCAACACCGAGCAGTCTGCTTGGCTGGAGGTGGGGACGACTTCATGTGAGCCCAGTCCCCATCTGTGAAGGCCTCTCACCCTGGAGGACAGATGGACTGGTGGACAACCTGATCCTGGAGGCTGTGGCTGTGGCCATGGCCCACAGAGGGACTTGCATGCAGCAAGTGACCTTGGGGATGGTGAGCCCAGAGTACATGGGAAGCAGATTCTCAGAACCCGGTCCCGGTCTGGCTGTGGGGAGGGGGGCGGCTGGACTAGAGCTGGAGGGGGGTGACTCTGACCTGGCTGCCCCTGTGGCTGCCTGCCCATTGCCGAGGGCTGACCAGGTGCTGACCAGGTGTACATGTAACTTTGCCCTGGTGGTCCCTCTGTCTGGTGGCCAGGATCCATGGTCAGTGCCCATCAGATACCTTAGGTGGCATCAGGATCACATGCCAGCCCGTAGAGGAGGTCAAGTCGGCCCTTCCCAAGAGGCTCTGGGTAACTGTCCCAAAGCTGTGCAATGTCTCTGGTGGGGAAAGGGGTCGTCTGAGTCAGGACCTCACCAGGTCCAGCAGCCTCATTTCTGTGACCCGGTAAGGGCCTGCCTACCCCCACTGCCGGACCTTTGAGGGTCCCTCTGGGAGAGTCCCTTCTTCCCAGGCTCCCTCCTCCTGCCTGGATCCCAGTGTTCTGTCCAGTCTGCCTTCCCTATGTCATTCCTCCACACCCTGGGGACCCATCTCTCACCCCTGGTGGTCCTGCCTGTTCTTCAGCCTCAGGCCCATGTTGGGGTCTCTCCTTGCAGTCTCTGCCAGAGGAGCTCAGTTAGGGGTTGGGGGAGGGGTAGACAGGGAGAGTCTCCTCCAGGGTCCGAAGTCAAACACGTGAGGTCTTTCCTGCCAACGCAGGGGTCAGTTGCACTCACCAATTCCTCCAGCACAACACTTACTGAGCCCTATGGTGGGCAAGTCACAGAACCAGATGCTGGTGACCTGAATGCCCCTGTTCCCATGCAGTTGAGACTTCACTCTCTTCCCTGAGACAGAGGCACCTCAGCCCAGGGGCTCTCCCTGTCCTGCAAACCTGTGAACTGCAGGTTTCTCTTCTGGCCCGAGATGGGACAGAAGTTTTAAATACCACAAGCCACACCTGAGTGCTAGGGGCTTTGGGACCCGAGGCGCTGTCTGTATTAGCCCAGTCTTCAGGAGACCTGGCACCTGATGCCTCAGAGCCTGCCGTTCTGTGGTTGCACGTGATGCCATTTTCTGGCTTCTGTGATTGGGACAGAGGAGAGTGGGGCAGACCCAGGTCCCATCCTGGGGCCAGTAGTTCTGGTGTCCATGGGTGTGGGTGGGGAGTTGGACTGGGGTTGCAGGTTTTGAAGCAAATAAAAAGCAGATACCCAGTTAAGTTGAATTTTACATTAAACATTTCTTTTTTAGTATAAGTGAGTCCCATGCAGCAATTGGGACATGCTTATACTAGAAGGTATCTGCTGTTTATCTCAAATTCAAATGTGATGGGGCAGCCTGCATTCTACCTGGCTGCCCTCCAGGGCAGACTGGCCGGAGCGGTCCAGTGCGGCTGTGCGAGGGAGGCAGGCCTTGAGCTTGGCGGACTGAGGTTGCAGAGGGAAGGGGGAGTGGGTGGGGGTGCCAGCAGGGGCGGAGGCCTGGTGGTGGGCAGGTTGGAGAGGAGGGTGCGATGCTGCAGCCCACAGCCGTGGGCTACACTGAGCTCCTAAGCCGGGAGAAGGGCTGGGGTCACCCTGGGGCGGTAGGGGTGGGGGGCTGGCAGGAGGCCATGGCAAGAGCCCAGTGCCCACAGTGGGGTGGGCAGTGCTGAACTTGCCAGCCCAGTAGGCATGAGGTGGGGTGCTCTGATGGACCCGCCCCCTAGTGTGCCGCCCGCACCTGGATCCCTGGGATGTTGCAGGAGCCCTGTGCCTCCTGAGAGAGCTGCCCGCTGGGAGGCGAGCTGGGGACGCTCTCCCTGGCGCACACAGCATGCCGAGCGCGGCTCTGGGGCTGCAGGGTGCTTCCTGCAGCCAGGCAGAAAAAGGTGGGCAGTCTTGCCTGAGGGCACACAGTGCTGGTAACCCAGGCTCTGGGCTCCAAAGCCAGTGTCTCCTCCACTTCAGCCTGGAGCTCCCCCACTGTGACCTGACTGCCCTGCCCCCCACCTCCTGCGCCCCCACCCCCCAGCTCTGGGGCCCACGACGAGGCCCTGGGCACTCTGGGTCAGCCTCGCAGCCTGCTATCTGCCCGCCAGGAGTGGGTGAAGCCTGAGCTCCGCCCCCGTCCCCACTTGTGCAGTTTTAGCCCTATGCCCTCTGCCCCGCTTCCCCTGATGCCACGGTCCTATCGCCTGGGGCTCTGGTCAAAACGAAGAGCCCCACATGGCCGCATGGACTCGGACGTCACCGGCTCTTCCCCTTGTGTCCTTTCCCTGTGCCCGGGTCTGTGCAGGATCCCGCTTGAGGCATTTAACTTCGCGTCTCCTTGGCCCCCTCCCGTCTGTGACAGTTCCTCTGTCCCTCCTTGTCCTTGGCCATCTGACTCTTGAGTCTGATGTTTTCTCAGGCTGAGACAGGACTGTGTGTTTTAGGGAGGGGTACAGACTACCCATCACATCCTGTTGGCACGGTGGTGGGGGGCCCTAACAGCTAAATTATATCACTGGGCCCTAGACCTTCATCACCTGGGGTGGGGCCATCTGCTGGGGTTCTCTCTTTCCCCTTCCCACACTTTCTTCATTAGTCATTAAGTCCCCAAGGGAGGGTCTGGGGGGAGGAAGAGAGAACTCGTGACATCCATTAATGCTGCCACGATACCGACAGATAGTCGGGAGAGGCTTGGAAGCTGTGTACACAGCCGGTTCCTCCTTAAGGTTCTGCCCCGAGTTTAGCGTCCATCTGTCTGTCCCAGATGTGCCTACAGCACTTACTCCTGCAGGATTCTCACTGGACTTACTGTTACTAAACTCAGAACCATGTGACGTTGGTCCCCAGTGGCCCATGTGTGGCGGCAGCCCACCCTCCTTCCTGCTGCGTGGTCTTCCACTGTGCGGGGCAGCACGGTGTCTTCGTCCATCCACATGCTGCTGGGAATTTGGATTATTTGCACAAATTTTATATGAAATAAGCTACTGTGAGCATCCTCTTCCTTGTGTTCAGGGCTGGATGGGCCGGGCTGGATGGCCTAGAATGTTAATATTGTTTCCCCAATTCATGCATGACAGGGAATCTGTTGACTTCGATGCTGTCAGGCCATTAAAATGCCTGTGACCAAAAGGGCAGAAGGTGATGCCTCTGGCCACCGGACCTCCAGTTCCCGCTCTTCTATTTGCTGCTTGTCTTTTCTGAAGGATCTCAGAGCTCTTTGCTGATATTTCTAAACAGAACTTTGCTGGAGTCACCTAGTGCCTCCCCACCCATCGCCCTGCTCATCATGATCCTAGCACTGAGCCCCACCTGGGGCTACCTACTTGTTCAGTTGTGGTCCTGCCCCCAAGCTTTGTGTTTGCCCCCTCGGTGCTGGAGTACCTGGCCTGGGAGGTGTTCTGCTGCAGGAATGAGCCCCATCCTTCCATCTACCCTCTGCCCCCAGGGTGAGGAGAGCTGCCAGATCCTGGCGGGGACTGAAGGGGACAGCTTCCCACTGATGGAGATCAACACTGGTGAGGTGAGTCTCTACCTGGGCCCCTCCCAGACTAGGTCCCACCCTTGGCCTGTTCCCTGTGCCAGCCTCAGCCCCACACCTTCCTCCAGACCGAGGCCTCTGAGCAGTGGGATTACGTCCTTGTGGCTGACCACCGCACCCAGAGAAATACCAGGCAGGCCCAGCAGCAGCAGCAGTTCCTGGAAGAGCTCAAGAGAAAGGGCTTCCATTACAAGGTGGGCTGGCTGAGGGCCTGGCTTGGTGTGGAGCATGGGGGACTGGGCCGCTGGGGTCACGGGGGCCAGGTGTGTCCTGGGGCGGGGTCTGGAGATATGGCTGTGGCCTTGTGCCTGAAGTCAAAGGGACAGGCCAGTGGCTGTGGACAAAGGGGGGAGCTTCCGAAGTGGAGTGGAGGTCCCCAAGCGCCCTCCCACCCCCAGATGATAGAGGGCCACAAGAAGGTGTTCTTTGGGATCCGAGTGGACAGCAGGATCTTTGGCCTGTATTGCAAACTCCTCATGGAGCCTGAGGGTCCTGCCACCAGAGTGCAGCCTGCCAGGCCACCCTCCGTCCCAGCCACCACCAGGTGAGAGCCTGGCCAAGACCTGGGGCCGGGAGGACCGCTGCCCACCATGCTTCTGGTCCAGTCAGGCTTGCAGGCATGGTGTTAGGTCAGAGGTCCCGGGGCAGAGATCTGAGCCTGAGTGTCCATGTCTGTGATACGGGATAAAGATAGTTCTCGCTTCTTGGAGTGTTCTGAAGCTTATGTGTGACTATGTTTCCTGAAGGGTGGGCAGGATTTGGACAGGCCAGGAGGACCTCCCAGTGGTCCCTCCTAGCTTTGAGGTCATCTCCCCAAGACCTGGGATGTGGGTCCCGACCTCCCCTCTCCAGACCAAATGCCCCTCCATGGACATCTGTCCCCAGCCTCCCAGGCACCCAAGCCTCTTCTCTCCAAGCACCTCCTTTTCCCCGCTGACCCTCCAGCCTTCTACACCGCTCCACCCACCCTCCCCACATCCCTCCTCTATCACCTGTCTTGCCTTGGCCCAGGCCCCTCTGAGCTCAGCTGGGGCCTGGTCAGTTGGAGACTGGCAAAGAATGCCCCTGGAATTTGAATATGAGCAACAGAGGGGGCCTCCTGTGAATGCGGGAGAACTGGCTGGTCTCCGGGAGGTGCAAGGGGACGGTGGTACCTTGACAGGGCCTGGGAGGAGCAGGCTGGGAGAGTGCCCTGGGACGTCAGAGGGACCATGTCTTACAGGAAGCTGTTCTGGAAGAGTGTGGCTCTGCAGTCAAATGTCTGGCTGTGCCACTTCCTGGCTCTGTGGCCTTGGGCAGGTTACTCAACCTCTCTGAGCCTCCATCTCTCCGTAGGGAAAATGGCTCACCGGCTATAAGGATTTGTGCATATAAAGGCATAGGGTGTGCTCTGGATGTGTGGGGGCCCAGGTGGGAGGTGTGATAGGAGGTGTGTGGGGGTTGTCTAGGCCAGTACCTGGGAGGGGATGGCGTAGGACTGAGCATTAGGCGGGGAGGTCCTACCCCCAAAGGAGCCCCATCCTGGAGCCATGGGGCAGCTAGGCCACAGGGGGACTCAGAGGGGTGGGGGAGGGCTCCCGGATGAGTCCTAGATTCTGGGCTCTGCTCAGGCAGTAAGGCAGGCAGGCTGGAGGCTTCACCAGGACACAGAGGGGCCTGGGACCTGGCCAGACAGAGGGTGGGGTCCACCCAGGTGAGGCAGAGTCATCCTGAACCAGTTCTTGTGTTCCAGAATCCGAATTGTCAACTTTGTACTAAACAGCAAGACGGCAGCTGGTGGTAAGGACAGGATGGACAGGTGGCCTATGCAGCCCACCAGAAGGGGTGTTGACGTGGGGAGAGCGGGCAGGGCTCCCCCTCACCCCTACTCCCCTCTGACCCGACTCCCTGTGACCACCAGACACATTAGAGGATTTGGTGAAGAGTGGGGTCTTTGAGACCAGATTCGCCCTGCACAAGGTGAGGGGTGGGCCAGCTGGGAGAGGGCTTGAGGATGGGACCAGAGGCAGGAAGCTCTCACCGTCTGTCACTTGTGCTCAGGGGGAGGAAGACCTAAAGAAGAAATGGGCCCGGTGGAGAAACATGTTCCACCCCCAGCCGATTGATGATATCAGGTGAAACGGCCCCAGACAAATCACCCGTGCCCCCAGCAGACAGATGTGTCTGTGCTCCTCGGCCAGACACACGGATGCTGTTACGCCCCTTGCCCCCACACGGGGCTCGCCCCACTCAGGCACTGGCCGGCGGGGCACCTGGGTGGGGGTGGCCCTGATGGGCAGCTCTGCCGGCAGGGACTACTTTGGCGAGAAGGTGGCCCTGTACTTCGCCTGGCTCGGCTGGTACACCTACATGCTGGTGCCCGCTGCAGTGGTGGGCCTCATCATCTTCCTGAGCGGCTTCTCCCTGTTCAATGCCAGCCAGATCAGGTCGGGTGGAGGGGCGAGGCCGGAGCGGGGGGCGGGCCCAGATGGGGTCGTCTGGGGAGAGCTGCCACCTGCCCCGTCCTTGCCCCCACAGCAAGGAGATCTGTGAGGCCCACGACATCCTCCTGTGCCCTCGCGGCGACCACAGCCGTCGGTACCAGCAGCTCTCGGACACCTGCACCTTTGCCAAGGTTTGCCGCCCCGGGGGCTCCGCTCCAGCCTGTCTTCCCGGAGGAGGGGAAGCTGAGGGTCTGCCCCTGCAGAGTTGGGCTCACGCGTCCCCGCTGGGGGCGTGGTGCACGGCGAAGGGCCGCCCCCAGCCGCGTGCGCCCTTCTCCCCAGCTCACGCACCTCTTCGACAACGAGGGCACCGTGCTCTTTGCTATCTTCATGGCTCTGTGGGGTGAGTCGCCGTGGGCACTTGGGGGGGCCAGTCCTGCCGCTGCGCCCATGGCGCCAGCCCCACCCCCACCCCAGGAACACAGGGTGGCTCGCCTCTTTGCTCCCGTCTGCAGCCACTGTGTTCCTGGAGATCTGGAAGCGGCAGCGGGCCCGTGTGGTCCTGCACTGGGATCTGTACATGTGGGACGAGGACCAGGTGAGGTGGCGGGTGACCCAGGGGCTGTCTGGGCACCTTGTGCGGCGGTGCCGGCCTGCGTCTGCCTCGTCCCAGGCAGGTGTCCCCGTGTCTGAGGCATGTCTGGTGCGCTCCACAGGAGGAAATGGCGCTTGAGCTCATTCACTGCCCTGATTACGACCTCCGGCCACAACAGCACTCCTACCTGAGAAGCACCGTCATCCTCGTCCTGTCTCTGTTCATGGTACTCGTACAGAACCTGTGGTGGGGCTGGAGACCTGGGCAGGGGACGGCCGTCCTGAGGAGCCCTGTCCTGGCCGCCCCTCCACAGATCTGCCTTATGATCGGCATGGCCCACCTCCTGGTGGTCTACCGTGTGCTGGCTGCCGCCCTCTTCAATTCCACCTTGCTCTTCCAAGAAGAGCAGGTGACCACAGCCGTGGTGGTGACCGGGGCCCTGGTCCACTACGTGGCCATCCTCATCATGACCAAGGTGGCTGGGCGGGGATAGAGGGAGGACGGGGCAGGGGGAGGGTCTCCCCTGAGGCCCAAAGTAAGCCCTCTGGTTTCCCCTCCTGCAGGTCAACAAATATGTGGCTCTGAAGCTTTGTGACTTTGGTGAGAGGGGAACCTGTGGGGAGGGGGGTGCAGGAAAGGGACAGGAGGACTCAGGGCTGGGGTCTTGGATCCCCAGACAGGGAAGGGAGCCCTTTCTGCTGTCTCGACTGCCTCTCCCACCTGACAGACAGGTGAGGGTTGTGGGTGTCCCTGAGTTGTCAGGATAGGGACAGGTCAGGGATGGGCGAGGGACAGCCCCACATCTCATTCTAGAGAAGCCCAGGACCTTCTCAGAGCGCGAGAGCAAGTTCACCATCAAGTTCTTCACTCTGCAATTCTTTGCTCACTTCTCGTCCCTCGTCTACATTGCCTTCATCCTGGGCAGGTAAGAGTGGCCCACTCCCACTGCCTCATCCACCATTTAGTCCCCCCCTTTAAAGTGGAGATACCTGCTCGTCTTTGTTTTTGCTCAGGGGTACCTGGGAGGCTCAGTCGGTTAAGCGTCTGCCTTCAGCTCAGGTCATGATCCCAGGGTCCTGGGATTGAGCCCCGCATCGGGCTCCCTGCTCAGCGGGGAGTCTGCTCTCCCTTTCCTCTCCGCTCATGCTCTCTCTCACTATCTCTGTCGCTATCTCTGTCTGTCACTCTCAAATAAATAAATAAAATCTTTAAAAAAAAATTCATGCTCAGAACAGTTGGACACCCAATATAAAAATGTGTGGCAGAAGCCCACAGTGAACCCCCAGCTCTCTACTCCCCATGCCCAGAGGTGACCCCATAACCATTGCGTGGGTCTTCCCAGAATTTTTCACACATTCAAGTACACACACATATACACCAGTTGACGTACATGGTTTTGTCCTGTAAATCATTTTATCTTCTCATTATACTGAAATGTACTGTGGGCATCTCCCACATATGCATGGATGGCGAGGCCTCATTTTAAAAACCACACCATGAGCCTTAGTTTGCAGGATGTGCTGGAATTTATTTTATCAGCTCAGTTGGTGGACATTTGGGTAATTTCCAACATTGAGCTTTGTAAAGCTAAAATGAGTGTTTCATATAACACAAATGGACTTCCCCTCTTCTTTCTTATTAGTGAAATCAACATTTTTTTGGTTCAATCAATATACTGAATTTTGTTCTGAAGAAAATAATTGCTCCATTTGTTCTGTATATTTGCTTAAATTGCATAAGACACATACATATTGCCAATTAATTCCAAACTCCAGTGGAACTTTAAAAAAAACCCAAGTCCTCCAAGTATGTTCAAAGACATGAGGCAGTCCCTAGACCCCGGCTGTCCTCTAGGACACCTCTAGGTGTCCACCCCTCCCCTTGGGGCTGTGTGCACCTGTTCATCCTGGGAGCCCTTCACTCTCTACTGTGTAGGAGACCCCAGGTTTCCCAGGGGCTTCCCGAGGAAGGGTACAGAGGAAATCAGATGCCCTTATTGAGGGCCTGATGGAGTGCTTGCTGGAGGTAGACTTCTTCCAACTCTAATCTCACCAAGCCTATCCTCTGAATCTCTCAGCGGGTGTCTTGGTGGGTCTTTTTCATTGGACTTGAACAATTCACCTCTCCCTCCTCTGCCTCATCAACACCTGTCTTGGTCCTAGATTATCTCCACCTCCACACAAGTATCCTGTCCCATTCCTTTCAAGGAATGTTCTCCCCACCACACCCAATGGCTGGCCCTCCTACTTCTGCTCCTACTTCTCCTCTCTCTGGTCCTGCTTACCCCTTCCCGGATGCTGGCTTCTCCTCTTCTCCCGATCTCTCGATGTCACAACGTCCTGCTGTTCCCATGACTTCAGGTGCCGTCTCAAACACCATCCAGACACACCAGTGAGGCCCACACTCCTGTCTCCAGCCCAGACCTCTCCCTGGAGTCCAGACTCCCAGGTCCAGCTGCCTCTCATCTCCCCTCAGATGCCCTACGGGCACCCCAACCTTACCGTGCCCACAAGCTTGTCCACAGTCTCCCTCTTCCACGTGGCAGCTCCACCTTCCTGTTGCTCAGCCCAGAACCCGGGTCCCCCAGATTCCCCACTTCCTCTCTGGTACAATGCACTTGTTTGCCCCATCTCTACTGCAAGGGTGGCAGCTCCCTGAGGGGAGCACGGGGGCTTGACGTTGCCGAGTCAGCACCTGCAGCAGGCCTGGCATGTGGAATTGATATCGGTCACATGGAAAGAAATTCCCAGGCACTTGCTGGGCCTGGAGCCTTGGGGCCTTCAGCTCTGAGTGATTTTCACGCATCTTGTGTCTTCGGTTCCCTCTGCTCCCCTCTCCGGAATTCTTTTTGTTTGGAAACTGGGCCTTCTGGTTTTCTTTGCTTTTTTTCCCCTCCCATTTTTTTTTTTTAGATTTTATTTATTTATTTGAGAGAGAACGAGCAGAGGGGAGGGGGGAGGGACAGAGGGAGAGAGAGAAGCAGGCTCCCCGCTGAGCAGGGGCCAGACATGGGGCTCAATCCCAGGACCCTGGGATCATGACCTGAGCTAAAGGCAGACGCTTTACCAACTGAGCTACCCAGGCGCCCCTCCCCTCCCATTTTTTGTTCCAGATTCTGGGAGTTTTTCTCCACTCTGTTTTTCAACCTTTCAGTTGAATGTTTTACTTCTGCTCATGTTCTTCAGTTCAGGGCACTCCTTTGCGTAATTCCTTCACAGCCTCGTCTTTGTGGCACCGGGACGCCATGGCTTTTCTTGTCTGAGGATCTTGTCTCTTTTTTCTCTTCTATTCTGGTATTGCTTTTTTTCCTTCCAAGTTTCTTTCATGCTCTTTCTTTAATTGGTCTCTGATTTTGGTGTTAGAGGCTTTCCCTAGATGTCACCTGTCCATAATTGAGAAAGGTGTGTGCCAGAGTTTTTGCTCTGGGCCGCGTCTCTCCCGTGAGGACCTCTTGCTCTGTCAGACCCCTGCCTGGAGGCAGAAGGACACTTGTTCACTGTTGGTCGGAGCTCAGCTGGGGAAGGGACAGTGCGGGGTCTCAGAATCCACTGGCCCAACCCTACAATCCGACTCTTTGGTGGTTCAACCCCTTAGAAGTGAGCCTCTGTCTCCCTGACCATTGACCGCAAGCCCCACTCTCTGTCCTTCTGCTCCACCCCCACCCAGTCCGAAGCAAGGTCCTGCCCCCCTCCTCCAGCCTAACTGTCCTTCCTAGGATCAACGGTCACCCTGGGAGGTCTGTGCGCCTGGCGGGGCTGTGGAAGCTGGAGGAGGTCAGTCTGTCCTGGACACCTTGCCGTTCTGCCCCTCCACTCCCTCCCTCCCAATCCCACAGCCCTGCCTCCCTGCACCTGACCTCCCACCTTTGACCCCCGCAGTGCCATCTCAGCGGCTGCATGATGGACCTGTTCCTGCAGATGGCCATCATCATGGGTCTGAAACAAACACTCAGCAACTGCATGGAATACCTGGGCCCGTGAGGACCACCCTCCTTCCCCAGGGCTCTCCTGGTGCCCCCCTCACCCCAGGGAGCCCTCGAACACACAGGAACCCCTCCTGTCTCCACATCTCCCAGAGCCAGCAGTTCTGAAGGGCCCCTCCGCCCCCAGCACCCCTCCCTGTTCCCCACTTGTTCTCATCACCCCTTAGGTGGCTGGCTCACAAATGTCGCCTGATGCGGTTCAAGCTGAGCCGCGCGACCGGGGACCCCGAGCTCAGGCGCTTACAGTGCAACTACCTCCTGAACCCAGTCAACACCTTCAGCCTTTTCGATGAGTTCATGGAGATGAGTACGTGGGGTGGTTGGGGGCAAGGCCTGATAAGCAGCCAGTTCCCGGCCAGGTCCTGGGGGACTGGTGGGTGGAGGGGGCGGGAACTCTGGCGTGTGGCGTGCCCCACAGCGCAAGATGACAACCCCACACCTCCTCCCAGTGATCCAGTATGGCTTCACGACCATCTTCGTGGCCGCCTTCCCACTCGCCCCCCTGCTCGCACTCTTCAGCAACCTTGTGGAGATCCGCCTGGACGCCATCAAGATGGTCAGGCTGCAGCGGCGGCTGGTGCCCCGCAAGGCCAAGGACATCGGTCAGGGGCCCGACCGGGTGGCGGGGAGCAGGGGCACTCCAGCCAGGGGTGGGGCGGCGAGGGATGCTGGGACCAGATCATGCCAGTTCCCTTGAAATAATCTCTCCAAGACTAGCCCTCTCACCCCATAGACAGCCCCCAGCCCTTCCTCAGGCTCTGCCTAGGATGGGAGTTGGCCTTGAGGGGGTGGTGCTCAGGCAGGAAGAGGCAGGGCTGGTGTGCATCTTACAGGATCCAGCTGAAGGAACTGTGGCCGCCTTGGGGGGCCCAGGCAGAAGAGCTGGGCTCTGAGAGCAGAGAGCTGAAGGAAGGAGGGGTCCAGCAGCTGGGGGCAGGGACTAAGAGCAGGACTATGACATGGCCTCTGTCACCCAGACTGTCCTCGCTGACGGGCCGGGTGTGAGGGAAGAACAGAGTGGATGGGGTGCTGGATGTGGGCAGAGGGAGAGAGAAGTATGAGTAGGAGGGAGGCCCCAGTCTTGGGCCCAGGTTAAGGGGTTCTGACCCCAGAGTGGAGTAAGCTTGGGAGCAGCTGAGGGGTTCAGGCAGAAGATGGGGGTCAGGGGAGACCTGAGCCCCTCCTGGTCCACGTCTGTATCAGTGAAGGCTGCCGACGGCTGCCATGAGCAGTGGCATGGGCAGAGGTGACCAGGCCCCATGACCATCCAAGGTCCCAGCCTTGGGCATGGTGGCTGGAGGTGGGGTGGGCAGTGCCAGTGGATCAGGGCTTGATGAACCAGATGCCTCACCCCACTGCTGTGGCCCAGGGACCTGGCTGCAGGTGCTGGAGACCATTGGCGTGCTGGCCGTCATTGCCAATGGAATGGTCATCGCCTTCACGTCTGAGTTCATCCCCCGAGTGGTGTACAAGTACCGTTATGGCCCGTGCCGACAGGGGGCCCAGCCTGCAGTCGAGTAAGGGGGCGCTGGGGGAGCCTCAAACTGTCGAGACCCCTGGGAAAACTGGCCCAGCCACACAGCTCAGCCCTAGGGGAGCCCGGGGGAAGGGCTTGATGCTGCCAGTATTATCTGTGGTTGTCATGAGTCTGGGCGTGGGGGTGGCCCTGCCCCCCATACCAACCTGCAGACTGCAGGAGTGCTGGGACCGTAGTCGGGGAGTTAAGGTCCCAGAACCAGATGTTTTCTGAGCGGGCCCCACTGGAATGACTCCCTCCCAAAGTCAAACCTTTGGGGCTGCTCCATAGGAGAGGGCAGAATGGTTTCCTTACCCAGCGCCTCCAGCCCTCCAAAGGACCACTGTACCTACAGACTGGGTTTCCAGGGGTCTTCCCCTGGAAGGCTCCCCTAAATTCCTGGAGGGAAGGCAGGCACCCTGAGTCTCTTCAGGCGCACCCCCTCGCCCCTCTCCCGTGCAGAGAAGTGAAGGAGGCCTTCTGTACTATGGCCCACCCTGCAGCCCCCACCACACAGGGATTAGCTCCAAGAAAGCACCCTGGAGCCTGAAGGGGCCACACCCTGCAGCCCTCACCTGCCCGGGGCCTTCTCTTCCTTCCCCCAGCTGCCTCACAGGCTACATCAACCACAGTCTGTCTGTGTTCTACACCAAGGACTTCCAGGACCCCATCCAGATAGAAGGCTCAGAGAATGTGACTGAGTGCAGGTTTGGAGCCCCCCCCCCATCCCCCATGAGCATCCTCTGACCTCCTGACCCCTGACCTCAGTTACTTCCCCACCCCAGGTACCGGGACTACCGCAACGCTCAGGACTACAACTTATCTGAGCAGTTCTGGGTCCTCCTGGCCATCCGCCTGGTCTTCCTGATCCTCTTCGAGGTGGGCCAGAAGTGGGGGAGGGGCCCCAAGGCAGGGGCAGCTCTCTCAGCCCTCCTCCCTGGCCCCCAACCCCTCAAGTCCCTGCTGGGTCTGCCTTGACCTCTCCGGCCAGCCCTTGTGCCCTGCCCCCCAGCACGTGGCTTTGTGCATCAAGCTCATCGCTGCCTGGTTCATGCCTGACGTTCCTCAGTCGGTAGAGAACAAGGTTCTGGAGGAGAAGTACCAGACGCTCCGGGAGAAGATGTGGTATGGGAGGCAGAGGCCAGGCTGGGGTAGGGCCAGGCCCCAGGCCTGAGGGAGGGCCATGGCCCTGATCCCCAACAATGCCATTCCTGCCTCCAGCTCCAGCCCCAAGAGCACAGAGGTGTAGGAGACCCAGAGCTGGTCAAGAGGAACTGGCGCCCAGGAGCTGAGACTCAGAAGCACTCCCTCCACCTCCCCCCAACCCCCACTCACGGCATATCGGGGTCCCGGGAGGCCGGTGCACATGTGGGGAAGTCTGTGTATATATGGGGGTCTTGGAGGGCCCGTGTGTGTTTTAGGTGCTTGTGAGCAGCACGCTGTGGTCTGTGAGGCCCGTTCCGTCTGTTAGGGCTCAGACTTGATACAGACCTGACTTGAACTCTGACTTACCCCTGCCACCCACAGAACTGGGGTGGGGGTGCCTCTCAGCAGTCACAACACAGGAAAACCAGCCTAGTTTCCTGAGCCTCCCTCTGACTTGTGGGACCCAGATCCTGCCCCACTGCCATCCTGGCTGGTCAGGGGGCCCTGACCCCACCTCTCTGGCTCCCCTCAGCCTGCAGAACTTTATATAATAAAATGAAACCTTTTTGTATCAATTCTGGGCCTCTGGTGGATTGTGTTTGTTCTCTGATGGGAAGCCCAGATGGGGAAAGGTCTGGAATGTGGTAGCCTCCTGGTCCTCATCTCGCGTTCCTTGGATTTCCAAGTGAGGGGGGGCTTTATTGAGGTCCTACCCTCCCCGCACTTGGGGTTTAGGGACAGGAGTCAAGGCAGGCTTCCTGGAGGAAGAGCTGGGGAGGAGGGGCAGAACCACCAAAGATGCCCCTGGGGACAGTGGAAACTCTGAGGAGTCCCCCAGGTCCTAGACCCTCTGGGCTGGTTGGGCCAGTTTGCCCTCTGCCCCCAGGCTGGGTGGTTGCAGCTCCGAGGCTTCCTGGCCTCTGAGAGCAGGACAGTCTTAAGCACCAGACCTGGGCGCAAAGCGGAACTCTTGGGTCCGCCCTCCGGCCCTGGCTGCTGGGCGGGGCTGCACCTGCCGCCGCCGCCGGGCTCGTCGCCGCTGCGCACCTGGCCCAGGTGAGACGTCCCGCCCCCGCGGTCGCGCGAGCCCCAGGTCTTGGCAGCAGGTGAGTGGCTCAGACCCACGGGGGTGAGTGGAGCTCGCTGGCTCCCGGGAGCCGGGACTAGGCTTGGAGCTTGGGGGCCGGGGGGGGGGGGCTTGCCCAGAAGAGCCTCTGGGCCGCGGCGGGTGCGGTCCCGCAGGAAGTGGCTCGGAGTCGGGCCGGCTGCCCCCGTCGCCCGGAAGCCTGAGTTTGTCCGCGTCCCTGCCCCTTGGGTCTGGCGGCGGGGCGGGGGGTGGGGGACGGCAAGGGCTGCTTTTCCCGCTCCGCCCGACTTGGGCAGTGGCTTCCTCGTGACCTTTGCCCAGGAGAGGGAGGAGGAACGCCGAGGCGCGCGGGGACCCTCGCCTCTGCCCCGAGCTCGGATCCCAGGCCTGAGGCCTCCCCGGGCTCCGGGGGTGTACGGAGGAACTGGCTAGGGCGGTGCACGTTGCTGGTCGCCGGGCGGAGCTACCGTCATGCGCGCACCCCTGGCCTCCGTGCGCGCTCCCGCCCTTCGTCTGCGTCCCCGACCTGTTGTGCTAGGCCTGCCCGCCACCCGCGCGGCCCCCCTGCGCACCCCGACCTGTCATCCGCGTCCCCCTCGTGCGCGCCCCAATCCGCCATCCGCCCTCTGTGAGCGCGTCGGCCTCCGTGCGCGTTCCCTTTTCGACGACACCCGAGTCCCCGCCCTCTGCGCCCGCCCCCGACCAGCCTTCCCACTGCTCCTGGAGGGTGGGGGACTAAGTCTGGCCCTCCCCTCGGAACGGCAGACCGCCGGAGGTGGGGTGTGTGTAGTGGAGGAGAACCGGGCGTTGCGGCCCCTGGGGAGCAGGACGGAGCCCCTCGCCTGCGGGGCCACAGCCTTTCGTGCAGTTCTTCCTTCGGGAGACACGGCGGGGGCGCAGCGCGTCCCAGATGAGCAGGGGATGCTGGAGACTATGGGGTGCTCAGCTGCAAACCAGACGGCGGAGGGGTGGGGAATGGGGGGGATCGCCTCCCACGCTTGAGCCGAGGGAGTCAGAACTCAAGCCAGAACATAAGCTCAGGAGCTGGATCTTTCTAGGAACCACCGGGTGTGGGGCAGAGTGTGGTGGGTGGTGGGGGGAGAGGGAGGGGGCCTTGGATTCGGAAGGGCCCTTCCGGACAGTGCCTAAGGCCATGTGGGCTTCTTTGCGCTGACCTTGGAGAGTGGGCCTGGGGGTGAGGGTGTACTTTAGCAGCAGAAGGGGAGGTGTCCTGTCATGGCTGTGAGATGGTAACGCAGAGGGGCACATAGAAGCAGTCTGGCAGGAGCTTTGAGAGGCAGCAAAAGTGGTTGGGGCTCTTTGCTTCCCACCTGGGTGCTCCTATGCAGGTCACTGACTACTGTAGGAGGTAACCTGGGCATCAGGCCCACCGAAGCACCTTCAAGGAGGGGCTGGTACTGTGCTAATGTGCATCCAGGAAGCTGAGGCTCAGTGGAGAAAGGGTGCAGTCAGATCTTCCTACAGTTCTGTGGGGACCCTGAGCCCAAGATGCACCATCATCCAAGGGTCTTGAGGGCCACGGGGGGCGGAGGTTGAAGAGCAGGGCTGGGACAGGGTCAGATTAAGGACATAGAAAAGCCAATATTGAAGGTGGCCCACTGGCGGGCCTCTGGCCCTGGGTGGGTGAGAACAGGGACAGGGCCTGAAGGGGACCCTTGCCCGATTTCTCTGGGTAGTGATGCCAGCCACCTATTGCTGGGCCTTGAGTCCCAAGTCAGTCTGGGGGGGGGGGTCAGTGGTGACAAAAGGAGATATTGGCCACCCCCCACCTGGGGTCAGAGCCCAGGAGCCTCTGTTGAGGCCTTTTCTTTGCTCCCTTATCTGGAAAGGCTGGGGGTGTGGGGTGGGGGGTGGGGACTGTCCTCCCATCCCAGCCTGAAACTAAGGTCCATGTGATAACACAGCCCCCTTTTAACTGCTCACTGTTTGGGGACTACATGGGGGAATCAGATAGGGAGGGGGCCCAAAAGCTCTGCTCAAGGCCCTATTATTGGCAGGAATTTCCACAGGACCCTCCTTACCCCAGCAGGCCACAGGTCAGATACACAATGGGGCTGCTTACTTGGGCCAGGGGGAGCAACCTGTAGGCCCCCACCATCCTTAGTGTAGCTTTGTAGGCAGTGTCCAGGAAGCTGGCTCTCCTCGTGTGTGCGCAACATGGCCTCGACTGGGAGTCTCCTTAGGAGCCCCCCCCTCACATCACCCTGGGCTCCAGCCCCTCTGCAAGCTCCCCTCCACCCTCCAGGCTTGGCCTCGGGAAGTATGATGCCTGGGTGGGCTGGGGTGGGCCCCAGAGGAAGGAGCCGCTTGACTCAGAGTTACAGGAAGAAGCAATGCAGGCGGGGCAGGCGGGGTGAGAACTACCAACTGCCCGCCTGCCTGGGATGGGGGTGGCTGCCTGGGTGGGGTTTAGGTCTAGGAGAGGATGTGACTGCAAAGCCAGGAAGCTACAGGGAAAGTTCTGATTAAAACACACACAAACAAAAGACAGGTCCTCACTGTGCTTGGTGATGTGTCCTGGCCGCAGACCGGGTTGGGGGCCCAGCTGAGCAGAGAGTTTGCTCCCAAGCACACGTCAATGACCTCAATGACCGACATTCCCCACCAGGAGGAAAGAGCCGGAACCAGGTGACTTCGTGTACTCCCATAACAGCCCTGCCGCTCCGCGTGAGCCTGTGTCCTCATCCTTGGACACCATTCCAACCTGAGGCTGGTTCTCCGAGTCAGGCCTGGCTGAGGGGAGGCCTGCAGCATGTGTGGGCATGGTATGTGTGTGTCCATAAGAGCAGGGGGTGACAGGAGGCTGTCCGCACGCCACGGGCAGCGAGGGCAGGTGTGAGGTGCAGTGTGTGTGGTGTGGGGCTTGCACAGATGCTCATGGCTGTGCACCCTGTGGGAGCTGCTGCAGACATGTACGTGCTGTGTGGGGGTGCGGCCAGAGTGCTGGCGGTGTGGGGAGTGTGCATGGAGGCCCACACGCCGAGACAGTAGTTCAGGTGCGCGTGGGGAGAGGGCTGTGTGTGCATGGGGTGTGCAAAACAGACGATGCAGGGGACGGTGTGCAGGGGGAGGGCACCTGTCCCTGGATGTGTGGTTTGGCCTTAGCTTCCAGGAAGGCTCAAGGCTGCCTTCCCAGGGGTAAAAGCTCTTCTGAGCTTGAAGACGTGGGAGGGCCGCTGCAGGAGTTTCCTTGGGATCCACCGAGCTGGAGACATGTCCTCTGGGCACACTGGGGTAGGGGATGCGAGCTGCCCAGTCTTCCATAGCCTCCCAGTGGACTGGTTCTCCTGCTTCAAGGACCTGCAAGACTGCCCTCCACGGGAGCACTTCTGGAAGGAACCTCCTCACCCCTTCCCTGCCTGATGCTCCACCAATTCCCGAGGAAATCCCATCCCAGCCAAACCCAGGGCTTCTGGCTGTGCTGAGGCCGGGCCAGGTCCACGGTGGCATCACCATGCAGAAGGAATGGTGGGGAGGCCAAGAGACTTGTGCCTGCAAAGCCTCAGGGGCCCGCAGGGTGGGGAGGATGGCCTGAGGCAGGAGTGGAGTACCTGCTGGATCACTTGGGTGAAACTGGCGCCAGGGAGGAGGTGGACCCAAGGCTCTGGCTGTCAAGGAGGCTCTCAGTGAAGGCCCCGACGCTGGGGGTTTTGGCCCCTCCTTTCAGCCCAGCTCACTGTAGAGCTTTCTGTGTCAGGAGGCATGAGTGGCCACTGCCAGTCCGGGTTGGGAGTGGTCCCAGCCCCCACATAGGAGAGAAGAGCCACCTACGGGTGGGGTGGGGGTTTCCCTTGGAGAACTAGACAATGTGGACAAGAGTCTTTGGTTTTGGAAATGACAAATGGGTGGGGGGGATGCAGGTGTGGGACTCAGAAGGAGGTGGGACCCATGAGGCCTGTTGGAGCAGACTCAGGCCAGCCAGGCCTCCATTGTCCCCTCCTGCCTCCATGACTGCGGCCTGGCTCAGCCTTGGGTGCTGCCTGCCGTGTCCATACACACACGGGCACATGGGACATGTCCAGAACAGAACCCTGCAGGGGGAGTGCGGCTCAGAGTCCAGCAGCCCACACTTACCGTTTCACATGCCCCCCTCTCTCCACGGCCTGGGTGAGCTCGGGGCTGCCCTGCAGCCCTCCTTGTATGTGGCACCCCTGTTCCAGGGGGTAGTGGGAACACAGCCACCTCCCAGCCTCATGAGGGGTGCTAGGGGTGTGCATCCATGGTCCCTCCCTCCGTCACGGTGACCCTGGGACAGGTGAAGTTCACTCTGAGGGCCCCTCCCAGCTGCCTGGGCTGTGCCCACTCCAGCCACACGTGACGTGCTCCACATGCTGCTATGCTGGCGTCCCCAGAATCCATGGGGCAGCTGGTGCAAAGTTACATGTTAACTCATCCAGTTCTTGTTGAACTTTCTCCTTTGGGATGGCAGCAGCCTTTGACCCGTCCTGGTGCCCTGACTGACCGGCCACAAAGACAGAGAGTGAGTCTTACCCACCCCCTGGGGGACCAGTCTGCTCAGCCAAGGAGCCCCGTGGAGCCGGGGGGTGGCACCAGTGCCCAGCCTGCCTCGAGGAGGCCCCGGCCAGACCATGGCAGGTAGACGGGTCAGAGAGGGACGAGCATGGGCCCCACTCCCACCTCCTGTCCCTCAGGCTGGCTCCACCTGTGATGTTGCCTGGGCTCTCAGCTTGGCCTCCAGCCAGGGGTACAAAGGCTTATGCTTGCCCCTCCCACATAGCCCAAGGTCCTGACCCCACGATTAGGACAAGCCCAGAGCCCTCTCCTGCCCAAAGCCTCCAGAACATGGTTGTGGGGGGTCAACAAAGCTCAGGGACACTGGGAGTGGGAGCTGGTGGGGGGCCCCCAGGGGCAGGATGAGTAGATGTGGGCTGCTGAGAGACCACCCCATCAAGATGATGGTGGTCTCCTCTCATGTCCCACTAGGACTCTTCACCCTGATTTGAAAATCAGAAAATTTAGGTCTCAGGGAGCTGGGAAAGCTTGCCCATGACCAGGAGTAGAGGGTCCTGGAATCCCATGCTCCCATCCCAGGTGGAAGGTGCTGGCAAGCTCAGCACCAGTGTTCACACTTGCTGCAGCTTCCCCAGCAGAGGTGGTGGGGCGAGGGCCACAGTGCCGGCTGCTCACCTGGGGTGGGCAACGGGTGTACACAGAAAATGTGGGAGCTGGGCTCATGTCCTGGGTGGATGAGCAGCCAGGTGGGCCCCCACTGGTCTGGGGTGGGTCAGCTCAGCTGTGACTCTAGCCACGGCCTTCCAGAGCACATCGAGGTCAGGCAGAACACCCAAGACCCAGCTGCTACTGGGGAAGACATGCCAAGGGCCAAGCCCTGTCCCTGGTGGGACTTGTGCATGGACGTGGTGTGGCCACCAAGCAACACATGCCACTAACGATCTTGTTTTCTTCCTGGCCCACAGACCATCTGTGGTTGGTGGGACCCCAGCATCCCAAGCATGGCTAACGACTGGGTCCTCTCTCTGTAGGCCTCTGTGACAGGGCCCCTGCCTTCCTCTCCCCCACTGGAAACCAGGCCCTGGGGCCCACCCTGGGCAGTATAGTGGCTCTGAACTGCACGGCCTGGGTGGTCTCTGGGCCCCACTGTCCCCTGCCCTCAGTCCAGTGGCTGAAAGACAGGCTGCCGCTGGGCGATGGGAGCCACTATGACCTCCGTGAAGACTCCTGGTAAGAGATGGAAGTGTCCAGGGTGAGGTGACTGCCCTGGTTCTACCCATGGCCACCTGTACCCTGGTCTATAGCCACCTGGACACGGGCAGAGTGCCTGCAGGGACAGGTGGACCCTGCGGACAGGCGCCTTGTAGACTGCCCAGCGCCATGGGTGCCACACAATCCTATGGCCTGAATTAGGCATTGCCCCCCAAAACCCAGACCCAGGATCAGGGTGACTATCCCCAAACAGATCCACACCCCCACCAGGTTCTGGCTACTTCTCTTAGCTAGTCGGGCAAGGATCACTCAGGAAGCCCACATCTGCAGCCTCTGGGGTTCAGTCCCCCAGGTGGGGCCTAGGGGCATCCACTGATGCTCTCAGGCCCCAGGTGAGAGGGTTGGGCCTGATCTCCCCAGGGTCAAGGACAACTTATCAGAGGTGCTTGTGTCCAGTGTTCTGGGGGTCAACCTGACCCGTGCTGAGGACTATGGGGCCTTCACCTGCTCCATCCGGAATGTCAGCTCCTCTTCCTTCACTCTTTGGAGAGCTGGTGAGTGGGGTACGCTGGGTGGAGGGTGGAAGGGAAGCCTGGGGAGCCTTGAGGCTCGGAGAACGCTGGGTGGGGGTGGCAGTGGTTCAGGCTGCAGCTCTGTCCCCAGGCCCAGCAGGCCACGTGGCCGCGGTGCTGATCTCACTGCTGGTGCTGCTGGCCCTGCTCCTGGCGGCCCTGCTCTACGTGAAGTGTCGCCTCAGTGTGCTTCGCTGGTACCAAGACGCCTGCGGGGAGGTGGAGATGAACGGTGCGGGGGCCGGGGTGGCCGAGGGGGAGGACTTAGCTATGGGGCCTCCCCAAGCTCCGCTCTGGGTGGGCGGGTTGCCTGGGCAAGGGGGGTGGTGGCGGAGGTCTGCAGCGGGGAGGCGTCAGCCCTCGGAAGGCTCTGGCGAGCACGCAGTCCCGGAAAGAGCCCGCGCTGGAGAGGGTCTGGGCGCGGCCTGGGGGCGGGGTTGCGGGCGTGTGTGCGGATCTGCGGGGTGGAGATGTGGCGGGCGGGACTGGTCCCCGCATGCGCGTGGGGAGAGGTTAGAGGACCCGGACTGGGGGGGGCGGGTAGTGAGCCGCGGCGGCCGGGGAGTGGTGGGCCCGGGCCTAGAAAGCGGAGCGCTGACCCGCCGCCATCCGCAGACGGGAAGCTCTACGACGCCTACGTCTCCTATAGCGACAGCCCCGAGGACCGGAAGTTCGTGAACTTCATCCTGAAACCGCACCTAGAGCGGCGTCGGGGCTACAAGCTCTTCCTGGATGACCGCGACCTTCTGCCGCGCGCGGGTACCGCGGGCCCCGCCCCCGTCCCGAGACCGGGCCCCGCCCTCCCATGGCCCCGCCCCATCTAGCTCCGGGTCCCGCCCCGTTCTGGGCCCGGGCCCCGCCCTCCCCTG